AATTTTTTGCACAATATTACATTAACAAATCTTATTTAAATATATTTTTTGTTATTTTATAGACATTTTAATATGACCGGGTTGATATTTTTTAAACATAGCGATTGAGTCCGATACCGAGAATGGTAACGAGAAGAAATTAATTAGCGTAAAAAGATGACCATTGGTATCCGTTTTGGCACGAGAAGTACATACACTTGCGTTATCTATTTCGATCTATGACTCTGGATTATCCTAGTGTAACATTTCCTCTGCATCATGAAAGGCTGATTGCCTCTGAGATGTTGTAGGTATCTTAATTGCGTACTTTCTACTTTGCTTTATTCTATGACACACGAAGTATGCGTCTGCTCAAACTATCTCGGACCAGTTTACTAACTACCGTGGTAAACTACTACTTAATCTTTGTCTCTCATATCGTATAATGCGAATATCGCGGTTAGAGGAAAATCACTTGTGTTCTTGCTTGAGTTAAAGTCGCTGTCAATTTCAAACTGTAATCGTAGACGAGGCCTCGCTTGTACCTGTTTGACGAAGTTCAGACGAAGTATAATTGAGGAGCTGGTGAACAAAACGGTATAATTACGCATCTGGTAAACTAATTTTTTTTACAGTCCGGAGGTTTTGGGGCCGTTGAATTTGAATCTCAAATAATTTTCAATCAAAACCTCCTAAAGCAGTGTTAAAATTACTAAATTTTAAATTAAACACGATACCAAATGCTCACTTTAGGTATGTCATTCAGTTTTATTCAGCTCCTGTAAAATTTAATTTAATGTTATTATACCGTTTTGTTCGCCATCTCTTCAATTTCTAAATAAAGTATGTAACTTATGGACGCACTCAAAGAGGTCAATTAAAAATACAACTCTTTATTGCTATCGATCAGGAAGGGACATTATGTTTTGAAAACAAATTGACATCTTAATTTTTTTTATATGTATGGTTGTTGGTCGCCGATGATCTTTACAGCATCACCGGGTTTGTGGATGGCGAGATTGTAAACTAAAGGGACCTCAAGTTGAGAATTGGCGAGTGCCTCTAAAAGTATTCCAGGCTCATAGCATCTCCGTCTGGAGCCTCTAGACCACTCGAACCTGAAGAGTTGACATGTCTGAGTGCAGCCGTTCATAACTAAAATAAAAATGATAAATCGAGCGAAAGTTTGTAGCGAGAATGTTTAAACTGGAAACAAGGCCTAAAATTAAAACATTTATTATGACAGCCTTGGGTAGTCTTGCTATGGGCGGTGATGGCTGAAAATGGGTATTTTGCCTTATAACTGGCAAATGTTTAGCCGAGCCTTCGCCTTTTGCTTTCTGCAGCATACATATGGATATTTCATAGCTGATTTCTTGTATCTTTTTTTTATTGTATTACTCTGTCTGTAAATGTATATTGAAGAAAAAATAAACGCATTATCTATCTATCTATCTATTAGATTGACTTATCAAGGTGAGAAATTTCGCATGGTTCTTGTTGATCGAGCTTGAAACAGTGACGCCATGCAAGACGTGTATCCATTGATAATTTTTAATAAAGAAGAAACAGTGGGAAAAACTGTATAACTTGTCCTGGTGGAAGAAATGATCAAATTGAAACTGTAGTAGCGCTACGAAAAATTTTACGCAATGATGATCCTTATATTTTTTTTACCTTATATTTTAGTTTCCTATGTGTAGATTCAATAATGAAATTTTTTTAGTTCGACGTGTAATACGAAAACGAAATATGTTGCTTTCTCTTTTTAAGTTCATCTGTCTGTAAAATGGTTGGTTTTGATCAAAAATCAACTCAGCTTAAAGGAAATGGAAAGAAAGTAATGAAAAACATTGAAATATTTATCAAATAATCTGTACGAAAGTAGATAGATACGTCAGTGTAAAAAAAATATTTGACGGACTGTCCCCGCTGGAAATGATATTGCTAGATTTCTAAATAATAAAAAAAATCAATCGAATTTCATCTTTTCCGATTTATCGATACTCGCACAATAGTTTAAAACAAATTGATTAATTAACACGATTTTTATTACATTCTCATAGTATATCTATTATGATGCTATGTGCTATGTCTATGGTGATCATAGTCATAGTAGACAAATAGTCATATTTGCACGTATAGGGTGTAACACCTGACAGTATAAAGGTTAAATCTGGAGGCGGTATTGCAGCATGACATGCTTAGTAATTTTTATTTTTATTTTATTGATATCAATCCGAACAGTGTGCAAGCTATGAATGACTCGTATGTATGATCGTCCGTTATGCACGTTGAAATAAAAACATGAGATGCAGCATTACCGTTTATCGAAGGCCGTTTTTTACCGGACACCGGGCCGGTGGAATAAGTCTGACTTTTTCTGATAATATAACCCTTCGATGATAAAGACAGCCGCGGTATCCGCTTAAAAACGGTTAAGAAGTGATTAAAGCATTTTGAGTCTATATCCATACTTAATAATGTTAATATACAGATCGGATTATTTTTCTTGCGACAATTTTGCATTAAAATATATTGTCCTTAGCATATTGAATTATCATAAACATATCTACTAATTATTTTTATGATTATATTTTGATAAATCAATACGGCACTAAATGGCAACAAGTGTCAAAAATACAAATGTAATGGAAGTAAATTAACTATTACTAATTTATTATAGAGATATTTGTTCGTCTAAGTTATCACACTAATATTATAAAGGCGAAAGTATGTGAGTGTGTATGTTTATTACTTCTTCACGTCTAAACGGCTAGAACGATTTTAATAAAATTTGGTGTGGAGTTAGCTGATACCCTGGATTAACACATAGGCTACATTTTACTGCGGGAAAATATCTTATTTCCATTGGAAAATGGATGCAAATGAATTTTGTTTAAGTAGGTACATATTTTTTGACATTCATGTCAAAGCTATTTTGATAGATTAATATTTCAAACATATTTCTAGAACAACGATATTGTTATAATTTTTTTGTGTATCTAATTATGATTCGCAAACGTGAACCAAATCGTTCACAGAACTCATAAAGAGCTCCATCCATGAAAATTGCAAGACAGCAAGAATCTATCGATACTGAACAGCGCAGACGTGACCAAGCAACACGTCAGGCAGAAGTCAGAACTGGAGAAACTTCTGCACAAGCTGATGCTCGGCGTATGGAAAATCCTATCCGCATAGGTTCTCAGCGTGCATCAGAGACAAATGAGGAGGCAGATTTTCGGCGCCAAGAAAACGCACAGCGTATGGCAACACAGTGATCCACTCAAACACATTATGAAGCAACTTCTCGGCGGCGAGAGCATGCCCAGCTTATGGCTAATCAGCGTGCATTAGAGACACCTGAAGAAGCAGCTACTTGGCATCAAGAAAACGCATAGCGTATGTCTACTCAGCATGCCATTGAAACACCTGATGAAGAAACTTGTCGACGGTTAAATCATGCCCAGTTAATGACTAATCCGTGTGCTTCTGAGACAGTAGATGAGACAAATGCTAGACGACTCTCAGTCGCTCAGCATCAAGCAGAGCGCCGGCAAACATTTACCAGAAATGCTTGGGGGTTATTTGAAAAATGTGGTTTTGAATATGACTCGACATTGGATTACAGTAGCCACAGGCTCATTAAAATTTGACGTATGGAAAATGTGTGTCACCATTGTGGGGCATTAAAATGGAATGAGGAAAGAGCGGGAATGTGTTGCTCTGGGGGCAAAGTAGCCATTCCTATTTGAGAAGAGAATATGGAACCCTTAAATACATTATTTACAGGTGAAATTGATGAATCTCGACGGTTTAAAAACCGCGTAAAAAATACAACCCATGCTTTCACATGACGTTATTCGGGGCGGACAAATTCTTGCAATGCCTGGATTTTTCCCAACGTTCACGGTGCAAGGCCAGCTACATCACAAAAGGGGATTACTGTTGCCACCACTTTATGAACAGCCACAATTTTTACAGGTGTATTTTATGGGAGACAACGACGCGGAAACTGACAAACAGTGTCAAATCATTCAAGGTATGGAGCGAGCAACTGTGCCAGGGAGACGAGTTTGCTCGCGCGTTGCTCTATGTAGAAGTGCCAAGGTAATACACGTGGAATGCGTCACGAAAAGAATGGAACGTCGCCTACAGGGCGCACCCGTCGACGGTTGGCCTGGTGTGAAAGCCTTAGATGCCCTCGGTAGAATTTATACCGTACACATAACACACTTTGAGTGTTAATGTGTACGGTTACTGTTGACTAGAATCCGGGGTCCTACCAGTTTTCAAGCGCTCAAAATCGTCGATGGCCAGGAAAAGGCCACTTTCCAAGAAGTATATGAGGCGATGGAGCTGCTTGAAAACGACGGCCACTGGGACGCAACGATGGAGTACGCAATGTTGTGCCGGTCAGCGACTACGTTGAGAGAGCTCTTTGCGATTATGATAATCACCTGCGGACTCTCCAACCAGAAGACATTGCTCGTCGATACCAAGGGATAACACTAGCCAACGATGACATAATTTTTAACGAAGCGCTGAAAGTTTTTTTTTATTGGACACATCAGGGGGCACCGGCAAAACTTTTTTAATGAACTTGCTGCTGGCACAGTTGTGCAAAGACAATGTGGTTGCGCTGGCTGTTGCGTCCTCCGGAATAGCCGCAACCTGGCTGAGTGGCGGTAGAACCGGACACTCAGTATTCAAGCTCCTGCTGAACCTTGCAAGTGTAGGAACGCCTATTTGCAACATCAGTAAAAGTAGTAGTCGTGGTGCTCTATTGCAATGGTGCAAAGTGATCGTATGGGACCGAATCGAATCTTGATTGGTGCAGTGGTCGTCTTGCTAGCAGGTGATTTCCGGTAGACGTTACTGGTTATCGAACGAAGTACCGCGGCAGATGAAATAAACGCATGCCTCAAGGCTTCGCCGTTGTGGGCTAACATCTATACCCTGTAGAGTTCTTAAATTTTCCTCGACCTGTCAGGGCTGTTTATCTGCCTGTCATACTGATGCGTAACCTGGACGCGCCCAGACTGTGCAGCGGCACTAGGTTACGCATCGCGGAGCTGAGACGGCACATCGTCCAGGCCACCATTCTTGCTGGAGGGGCCAAAGGAGAGACAGTATTGATACCTAGAATCCCTATAATACCCACAAACTTACCCTTCCAGTTCAAATGCCTACAATTTCCTATAAATGTGGCTTTCTCTATTACAATAAATAAAAGTCAAGGGCAAACTTTAAAAGTAGCCGACATTCACCTGGGCACCCCCTGCTTCTCCCACGGACAACTGAACGTGGGTTGCTCGCGTGTGTCGGGAGCAAGAAATCTTTTTATTTACGCAGAAAACAAGAAGTCCCGCAATGTTGTTTACCGAGATGTGCTGTAGTAAAATGATTTTTCGGTCTCGCTCTACGACCCGAGACAAAAAACAATTATATAAGACAGCATAATCAACTCTCCCTTTCTGTCAGTCATCAAATTTTATAAATTGATCTTTCCGATGTTTAAGTTTAAATTACTTTGCTTCTAAAAATGTGAATAGTCATTGATTTTACTGTTAATACACAATTTATTTTCCCTAATAAGCCGCGGGTAACACCGCGGGGCACAACTAGTGGCTTATAATTCAACATTTTACTATCCGCTCACATATGTAATATAAAATTTTTTTTAGCCCATCAGGGCCGTGGTAGCATAATCGCTTCGAGTCCCGTCTGCTGCCTGGGCCACGCGGATTTTTTTCTAGTGATGCTTTATTTAGATTTTAACATCAAGCAGGTACATGCTTAAAATAATAAAAATTATAACCTTACAGGAACCTGGTTTGGGAAAACGAAATAATGTAGGTACTTACTTCATGAAGGATAGAAAGTTATTTTGAAATGTTTTAACCTGCATTCTCAAATGATATTGCATTTTCCAGCGTCACTCGCCCCTTAGAGAATGGTCGGGAATTGGCAAAGAGCCACTCTGATGCTACAGTTACATATCCCTCTAGAATTTCTAGTGATCCAAAATAGTGTTGTTGCATTGATATTTATTTTTCAATCTATAATATTTTGTTTTGCAGTATTTACATAGATGCATACACATACAGAGGAGCTCGATGGCGCAAGGTAAGCGCGTTCGGCTACGATCGTTGAAGTTAAGCAACTTTCGCAGTGGTCGGTCATTGGATGGGTGACCATAAATTTACTATCTCGAGCTCCTTCGTGCTTCGGAGGGCACGTTAAGCCGTTGGTCCCAGCTACCTCTGCAGTCGTTAGCACCCACCAATCCGCACTGGGCCCGCGTTGTGGGTCATGGCCCAATCTCTCTATTCCATCCATAGGGAAGGCCTGTGCCCCAGCAGTGGGGACATTAATAGGCTGATGATGATGATGATGATGACATGGATACACTGCAATGCAACGTTTTTTTTTTAATTTTAATTGTGTGCTTTATTTGTCAATACCAAAGTTTTACCGTCAATATTAGGATAGATTGACAATGCAGCTCCGAAAGATGTAGGGCATAGCTGATTCCATTCGAGTAGGAGCGCCTATCCGGAAAAATAACTTTCTACTTAGAAATTATAATTAAATTTCAATAATAAGCAATAAGGTAACCAAAACTGGAAAATAACTATTGCAATCCTGACGATATTGCAAATAATATCGATAGATTTACTTTGTCAATATACGTACAACACTTATCTAGAATACAGCTGTAGGTACGTTCGCAATAACGCAGGGTGATGTTAAAATATGTACGTACAGTACACTCTTCACATTGCCGCGACTGTCTTGTTGAACTTTTATAAGCTTCCTGAACGGCGACCGTTATTTCAGTATGCAAATGTAAGTGTTGCATAGTTGCGTTTAAATTAAAAGTTGGACAGGCAGCTTTGAAACACGGCGTCTTACCTAAGAGAAAGAAAAAAAATGGTTAGCAGCTTGTCATCCGGACTTGCTAGGCGGAAAGTCACTTTAAAAATGTTTTCTGTGTTAGCCTTTTAGTAGGAGCCGGGTTGAAGAATTTTCGCTTAGATGCCTTTTGTCTTTTTTTTGTATATGTCCTTAAAGAATCAACTCGTCAATTTTCTTTGTTTGCTTTATGAAACCTGTTTTGTTATAATTATACATACATCAAACTTTCATAAATATGAGTTATGATTTCAATTTAGCCCTGAAACAAATCTAGTAGTAGACTCCTGCATAATTGCTGGACTTCTCATCTGCATATAGATAGCTTATGATTGCGCTATCTTATATTTGTCCCTGTCTAATCCTTGCTGCTTGTGCGTCTGTCTCATGCGACTTAAAGTGCAGTCTCGTTGGCTAAATTGGCCAATCCAATTGTTACTTTCCGAGAGGCGTGCTTTGAATTAACAAATATTAAAGTGTTTTGTAAAAATAGAATAAGTTTCTATAAATATTTCAGAAGACACTTATATAACATGCGCCAGTTTATATCTCGTAAATTATAATGCAATGCAATGTTTATTTTAAACAAGCTGACCCGGCAAACTACGTACCGTAACTTTTACGTACGTTACTTTAAACGTAATTTTTTCTCCGTAACTTTAAGAGTCTACGCAACATGCATCATCATCATCGACATGTATAATTCATTCAAAGCTTGTTTTGCTTTGGTCACCAATAAATCAAATTAGTTATTATTGACAAAATAATAGGTATACTTAAACATTTAAAACCATTGTTTTTAGTATGTATGCTGTTCGTCGCAGATGACCTTTACAGCGCCTCCGGGTTTGAGGATGGCGAGATCCTAAGGAGACCTCAAGCCGAGAATTGGCGAGTACCTCTAGAGGTATTCCAGTCGGATGGCATCATCTCCCCACGCATTACGTGTCCCGTGCGCTCCATTTGCCTTTTTTCTGTAATCTGAGATTTATAATTTATAAACATCGCTTTTTACTATTGCTGTAACCCACTAAAGAACTGTTTTTGTAGTTGAAAAAATCTTAGTTGTATTTAAGGTAAAATGACTTTCATTTTTACTGCGTATACATAAAATAACCTAGATTCTAAAAAGTTGCCGTAAGTCCGCTTAAAAGAAAGAAGTATATAAAAAGGGGCTCGAACATTTTCCCTCGTCCCCATTGCTTCGTTTAGTGTGACCATAAATTTAAAATTTTGCTATTCATTACATATATTAAGATGTCAAATTTGCGATTCATTGCATAAAATATTAGGGAATGAAACATTTGTTATTAAAAAATAGCTCTTAATATTACAAATTCAAACAATTTACATGGTTCAATGTTAGAAATATAATTAAATGTGACTATAGTTAAAATACTTTAGAAAAATAACCAATAAAATACTAATAAGTTGACGCGACACTGACTAATACTTACATTTAATGGCCATAAGACGACCTTTTTTATTGCTACTCTAGATGTGCGACTACATACAGGATGACAGGAAAACTCGACCTATTCCTTGAAAGGGCTTATTCATACTAGAGATTATTAGCAACAAATTAAGTCCAGTATACTAGGGGTTAAAACGGGATGGTTATCGAGTTGTGACGGTTATTCGATTTTTTATTTTTTTTCCTACTTGTTGTCAAAAACCATTAATTGTGAATAAATAACTCCACTGTAAACTTGGAATTGATTCTTTTTTAAAAGCTGAAAAATCAGTGATAATTTAGAAAAGCGTTTGCCTAAAACACAATCTCAGAAATAAAAGGAGTTTAGTAACAATAATTTTATTTTTTGAAGTTATACTTCTTTAGCCGCGTTATGAAAAAATTATGAGAGTGAAATTTTAAGATGCGCGCGCATCACTGTAACACAAAAGTAACATAATGAAGTTAGCCGCGGAAAGTAACACCATGAAGTCGGCCGCTAAACCGCACATTACTCGTAAGTCTCGAAAAAAAGCTTCCAACAAAATAGTAATAGGATCTCTTAGTCGCACATGTTGGGACGCTCGTCGCCTCTGATCGCTGTTTTCAAATTTATAATATTTATCCACATGTTTCTAGTTTCTATATCCTAACACGTGTTATAATGTTATACAAATGCGAAATTTATATGTGCTAATAAATTTTATTCAGTAGTAATTTAAATTGAATATTTTGATTATTTATTAAATTTTTCAAATTAAAACTGAACTTTATTGACTGCGTTGACTATTCTTTTCCAATCCTTTTATTATCTTATTGTAATTAATTATTTAGCAATTAAAAACTATTTTTTAATAATTCCAAAAAGAAGTATAACTTCTCACGCGCGTACTTAAGTACACGCACCCATATTTTTTTGTATTTTTCCCGAACTTCGCAGTAAATTATTGGAAAATTACTGTATAGAATTCGGCCATCTCGGTAACCATCCAGTTTTGACCCCTAGGTCACTAGACTTAATGTGTTGCTAATGACCTCTAGTATAACCCCTTTCAAGGAATAGGTCGAGTTTTCCTGCCATCCCTGTTTATCAAACAAGTTTATCAAACCGTAAGAATCAAACAAATATAACCGCTATATGATTGTCACGAAAAAAAAAATACGACAACCTGGTCACTCTAGTTCAGCAAACACGGGCATAGGCCGACCTCAAATAAGCGAACTAAAAACTGACACCGACATCGTACAGGCTCCTAAGCCGCGAATAGAGAACTTACAACAAAGCCAGCTTATAAATATGGAAGCGAAAATTCGCGGGAAAATAATACTCTACCAAAGCGTCTTGTGTGCGAGAATACCCTTAATTAGCTGTTTATATTCCTTAATTAACATACGAGGGTATTTACTCAATGTTGCTCTAGGGTTGTCATGTTTTCACCTTGAATCATGGCTTAACTTATAATATACTGTTACCCAAACATGTAATAAGATCCAAATAATGATGTACTAGCTCTCTAAATCGGTGGAACATCGATAAGGAAATGCCCTTAGTGAAAAATATTATTAAAGTTGGTGAAATTCAGATTGACTGATTTGTTTTGAATGATTTAATAAGTATATACAAAAGGTGACCTGTGCCCAAGCAGTGGTGACATAAATAGGCTGATAATGATTATAGTACTTTTTGGATCAAAACAGATTATTAATGGCCAGAGTGTATATTCGTGTTCACTAATTAAAAATTATCGTTATTGGAAAAACATTGAACACGCAAGGGTATATTTAGACGGGGCGACGACCGGGCGCTGGTTGCGCATCTGTAATAAATTCTAATACACCATATATCAGCGAGTTGAAAACTCGGCACTGGCGAGGAAATTACGAACTCATCATCGCCACGCGAAAGGAAATTGGTACATTATTTAAAAATCTCCGGTGGTATTGCAACGTTTCTTTTTCATTGAATCAATTTAATATAAGAGTTGTTTCGTAATATTTTAAGAGAAGAAAGAGGAGGGTGTCTGAGGT